TATTACATCTTCTGACATGTTTATATTCTACAAGAGATGTGCCCTTTTGGCTAGCTTACCGTGGCGTCATTACATTCACTGTTTGTCTTGCTCTTCTCCCTTTCGAGTGACTGATCCGATTCTGGCCTCCTGTCTGGATCCGCCTCATTGACCCGTAGGTCCGTGTCCTATCTTTCTGGTTGACCGATTTCATTCAGCTCCAGCCCCAGTGTACTTTATACTACAGGCACTACCGGTTCTCCAAAAAGTTCGTCAAAGAATTGACTTTACCTGTCTCTTTGACGAGTTGTAATTTGATGCTGAGAATAGCAAGACTCACTGACGGTGGCGTCGAAACGTCTGGGAATGTACCAAGTCGACGGTCCGACTCTGGAAATTATTATGAATGCTATGGGCTCTAGACAAGGTAAAATCGTCCTGCCAACATGACCAAGTTGCAAAAATACGGTCAAACAACTACTAATCATTGAAGTGAGACTGCCACAAAAATAGAGTCCACAACAGCTTGGTCTTCTTTTCTACCATATTCATCCTAGTTTGCGTATGATGGCTGATAGTTAAATTTCCCTCTAATTGTAAGGATAGATCTTACGTATCTATTACATTTCACTCGAAACGATATTGTACAGCAGTTTCGTGACCGCCTGAACTTGTCTCATCCGCAACCCAATCTGGAAGAGAACTTGGTTAGGGCACTTCTCTCATCATCATCATCATCATCATCTTATCATCATCATTTTCCATGTAGTGCATTCAGGCCTTTTTATTGAGCGTATCAGTGCAACATTTTGATCTCTTTACCGAACAGGCCTTATCCCATCCAAGGCTCAGCAGTTCCGTCTCTTCTGTCACTTCCTCGGACAGGCCGATCGGTGAAACCGAATTGACTCGTCGGCTCAACTCGGGTATACAAAAGTGGCATGCTCGATTCAGGGTCAGTCTGCAGCATCTTCTGCAAACAGACGAAGCTCGCAGCAACGCCGGTCCAGTGGACTCGGGTGATCCGTCCCCTGTCGACTGGTATGATGTTCTCGCCAGTGACCACAACTCTGCTCTTGGCTGCACTTCTGTCAGCTCTACCAATGCCTGGCTTGACGCTACCATTCATCAGGCCAGGCAAGTCATGCCACCGGGTCGACGCCAGCGTTTACTCGACTGGCTCGTGCCTTTGGTCAAGCCACTACAGGAGGCCCGAGACCCAGAACCCAGCCTCAAAATGTATCTTGACGTGGAACCGCTTAGAGAGGTGCGAGCACGCCACCATCCAGAGCTGAGTCCATCCAAACCGACACAGCCATTGCGAGTTGGAGAAGACTCATGTCATCGGATTTCAATTCAACTAGCCTATCAGGTAAATTAAAACAGATTATTAAAGATCTTTATCATCCTATTTGGTTTAAGGTGATGAAAGTCTGGTAGTTGAGTCTTCACACAATTAAATGAGTAGGCCTCAAGTTTCCACTGCATTTCACACAGTCTTGCATCCTAAAAGTTATTCTCATTCAGCCAAAAGTGGCTGCAATTTCCACCTCGTATATGCCTTATCGGCATCCCCACCCGGACTGGAACCATGCCAATGCAGCGTATAATCTCGGCATGTTAACCACTACGCCACACTGCCACGAGTGTCCTTGGGGTCACAAGACATATTTGAATGTCAAAGAAGGCTAGGCATTTTCCCACATCAAATTCTATGGTGGGATTGTCGATGAAGCATAATTATATTTGATGTATTCACCCTATTTCGTCTAAGT